CTCCCAAAAAAGTGAAAACAAAGAAATAAAAGACTAGTAGAATCTTTTTGAAGTTGCAAGTATTTAAAGAACCCTCTCACCCACAACTCTCTATCATACTACACACTTAATTTCCTCCTGAGCACTAATCATTCTAAATTTAAAAAAGATTTAAAATCTTTTTTCAAAAATAAATTATTGCCTCACTTCCACTGGAATACAGGCTTCATATAGCAGCAGGCTTGTTCACTTATTTATACTGAGGGTAAGACATCTCTTGTAACAGAGTAAATGCTGCAAAAATATGATAGTCACAGTAATAGACGTTAAAAAAAAAAACAGAAAAAAGAATAACCTGTATGTCTAACAAATCAAGAATGACAGGGCTGGGGATGAGGCTCAGTGATAGAGCACTTGTTTGGCAAGCACAAGGTCATCGCTTCTCGGCCTTTTGGCTAAGATCAAGTGTGGCAAGCACAAGGTCCTGCGTTCAATCCCCAGCACCACACACACACACACACAAAAATTATATTACTTCCATTCAGTGGAATACCAAGAAGTTTTTTTTTACAAGGAGAGGGGTAGACCTACAAGTAACTATTATGTAAAGACCTAAGGCAAAAAAAAAAAAAAAAGATTCCAAATATATAAGAATAATATATGTATTTTGGAAGGAAAACACATATACGTACAAACTTGCAAAAATGTGGTAAGATAATATCTAATTGGCAAGCAGTCATTTCTAGGCAGAGGTACTAGGATTCAGGGAGAGAAAGAATGGTCAAGGGGAATGTCTTTTTTGTATAGTATAACACGTGTGTGTGTGTGTGTGTGTGTGTGTGTAAGCACACAAATTATTTGTACAGTTATATAATTTTTTAAAAATCAAAACTTTTCTGGGGGATACAGGGTCTATGTAGTTCCAGCTACCCTAAACTTGCAGCAATCCTCTTGCCTCAGCCTCCCAAGTGCTGAGATTATAGGTATGTGTCACCACATCTGGTTCAAATCAATTTTTAAGAGAAACCAATGTTGGGTCGAGGATATAGCTCAGTGGTGCAGCACCTGCCTGGCAAGCACAAGGTCCTGAGTTCGATTCCAGGTACCAAAAAAAAAAAGAGAGAGAAAGAGAGAAGCCAATGTTCTTAGAGTCCACTCCTGTTTTTTAGACACGGGAAATTTACCATAGATAATCAGTTACATTAAATAGAGGAAAGTGAGGCAGCCAGGATACTAGTAACAGCAGGAAGATTATTTTCTAGGATTAAAAAGGCAGTAAGATGAATCAGTCTCACCATACTACAAAAGCTCGGGATGTGTTACAAACATAGCAGATAGCATCTGGGACCACAGAGGAAAGGGCTCTTTCTCCCTTACCCCCCCACCATAGCATTAGGGTTTTTGAACTCAGGGTTTTTGCACTGAGCTGCATCCAAGCCAACCTTCTTCCCTTCTTCCTTTCCTTTCCTCCTTTCCTCCTCTTTCTCTCATTCATTCATTCATTCATTCACTGACATGTTCTAAATTGCCCAAGCTTAGGTTGAACTTGCCATCTTCCTGCCTTGGCCTTCCAGAGTTCTAGGATTACAAAAACATGCCACCATTCTCTGCTTAGAAGGGGCTCTTAATGGGACACAGGGGAGCTACTGGTGGAATTGGCCCCAAAAGGCAGTGGAGAAATACCTTCAGTTTCTTCCCTCCTCTCATCCTCCAATCTTCCATTAGTGCGCCCCAATAGCCAGATCCAGAAAACAAGGGAGCCTAAGAAATTTAACCCTCTGCGTGGGGATGTGAGAACAAACTAAAGGCCAACTAACATAGTCAGTTACCAACGTATGCCCTTACTACTTCTATTCCATGGCAGAGAAGGATACACATACGCGGTGGCTCAAGGTCTGTCTCACTCTAAGTAAGAAATTAGATAGAGGGGAAGGGAGAATTTGAAGTACAAAATGTAATTTTTTAAGTAAATGATTATAAACACTGAACTAAAGGGACAAAATGATCAAAGCAAGTCATATGTATAGATTATATAAAATTTTAGTATGTTAAATCTCTTTATGTATGCGAGAAAATTTCTGAAAGTAACTTCCTAAAAATAAAAGTTCAGCTGAGCATGGTGGTCCACATCTGTAATCTCAGCACTTTGAGGGCTGAGGTAAGAGGACTGATTGCCCTGAGTTCAAGACCAGCCTAGGCTACACAGTGAGTTCAGGACCAGCCTGAACTACATAGCAAGACCCTGTCTCAAAAAAACAAACAAAAAAGCTCAGCTTAAAAATCTAGATTTTAAACTTATGTTTCCACCATGTATTTTTTGAGTGCCTTACCCTAAAATTATCTTTAGACAAAATACTTAAAATTCCTATCTTTTTAAAAGGAATAAAGAGGGGCTGGGGATTTAGCTCAGCAGCACAGCACCTGCCTGGCAAGCACAAAGTCGTGAGTTTGACTCCCGGTACCGGAAAAAAACCAAAAATAAATAAATAAATAAAATAAAAGGAATAAAGGGAAAGTCCAGCTTAAGAACCAAAAAAGGACAGCTTGATAAAAATACCAAGACAGGGAAAGAAAAATATAAGTCCTTTTTTTTTTTTGGCTGTACTAGGGGATGAACCCAGGGGCCTTAAATGTACTAAGCAAGTGCTCTTCCACAGAGCTACATTCCCTAAGTTTAATTTCATTTAATTCTATTGGTCTTAGTCTGGGAACTGGCACCGTTTTTCCTGTAAGGGACCAGACAGTATTTTTGGCTCTGGAAGCCAGAGTAATGAGCACCTTAACACTTTAATGATCAAACATATACACACCAGTGGTCCCGTAACACTGTATTGCCTAGTGACGGTATACCTGTTTCAGTATGTGTAAGTACACTTAGTGATGTTTGTAGGAAGATAAAATCACATTAAAGACAAATCTCTCAGAACACATCCCTATTAAGTGATGTATGCCTATACTCGGCCATCATGAGTCAAAAGTACCATATACAACATGTAAATGAATGGAAGAGGTTGTGTTCAAATAAGTATTTATAGACAATAAAGTGTGAATTTTACCTTATTTTAATGTACTATACTCTTTTTTTTTTTTTGGTTTTTCTCCGGTATCGGGAACCGAACTCACGACCTTGCACTTGCCAGGCAGGCACTTTGCTGCTGAGCTAAATCCCCAGCCCCTATCCTCTTTTTTCAACTCTTTAAAAATATAAAAATCATTTTCAGCTCATAGGCCATACAAAACAGGCTGTAGGCTAAATATGGTCAACTAAGCATAGTTCACCAACCCATGCTCTTATATAAATTATATTCAAGAAAAGGTGAAGTTGTTAGCTAGTTTAAATTGTTAAATAGCAACTACTACCTCTACATTTTTATTTCAATTTCTGTATCAACAGAGATAGCTTCAACATGTTGATTTAAAATAAAAAACTGCATATCTTTAATCCAAAGAATCTAAGTGGGAACAATCAATTTACACAGAAGTGTACCAAAGCACTTCAGAATCTGTGAATTTATTCAAACAAATAAAGCTAATAATATAGGAAAAACTGTGGCCCTAACCTGTAGGCACTCCATTCCCTTGGCTCACTTTCACTGGTAAGAGAGGTGGCCATCTATTCAATCACAAGTCATGGTTAGGGATGTCAAGGCCTGCCTTTTCTTTTTTTTTTTTCTTTCTTTCTTTCTTCCTTTATTTCTTTCTTGGTCTTTTTTGAGACAGGGTCTCGCTATGCAGTTCAGGCTGACCTTGAGCTCACTTTGTAGCCCAGGCTGGTCTCAAACTCACCACAATCCTCCTGTCTCAGCCTCCTGAGTGCTGGGATTACAGACATGCGCCACCACTCCCGGCTGCCATTATTGTTTCTTGACTATAAAAGTATACAATCCCCACTTAGCCTACAGAATCAAATAATAAAATTTGCAATATAATCCTAAAGGCTCTGATAATCAAGTCTCATCAAAAGGCCCCAATTAAACCAGGCATAGTGATGTACACCTGTAATCCCAGTGCAGTGGACAGCAGAGGCGAGAGGATCACTAGTCTGAACCTAACCTAAACAACTTAGCAAGACCCTGTTTCAAAATTAAAATTCTAAAAGGGCTAGGGATGTAGCTCAATGTGAAGACTCTGGGTTCAATCCTCAGTACAAGGGAGGCAGAGGGAGGGTAGGGAAGTTCCAATATATAAAATGAATACAACTGCCAAAAGAATTCCAATTTCATCCATTCTGCTACCAATCTTTAAATGCTATAACACATTAGAAAGCTTGTTAATATTACAGCTTTAGTTCCTTATACAATTTGTAAATTTTATTTCACCATTTCACCTATAGCTGCTCAAAGAATGTTTTAAGAACTGGCTGCACAAAACTCATACCATATTTACTATTTAAAAAAGAAAGTAGTTTTTATCTAGTCATATCATCACTTTTATAAAAACACTTGGGGGAAATTCCTCAGACACAGTGCCACCAAAGAATAGTTTTCTTGAGAGACACGTGTGCCTTTTACCTCATAAATGCTTTATAAACCATAACCCAAATTTCTATTTATAATAATAGAAAATAGAAAATTTTCTATTATTCAGCTACTGTTAGGTTGAACTTGCCATCTTCCTGCCTTGGCCTTCCAGAATTCTAGGATAACAAAAACATTACAGTTCTAGGATTACAAGAACTGTAATGGAAAGGTAAATATGTGCTCTCTTGGCATAAGGTCTTTCTTTTTTTAAAGAAGAAATCACAATAAGCTGTTAGTAGTTGAGATACTTAGAAGTAGCTTCTCTTTTCATTTTCTAAAACCTTTTATAGTTCACCTCTGGTAAATGTAAGAATTTAAGGTATGCATTTGAATGTACTTCCATAGTCAGCTTCAAGTTACTAAAATTTTCCTATTTCTTTCCTGAAAACAATGCTATCATATGCCTATATAATATACTCCAAACAAAGTAAAGCATTATTTAGTAGCATAAGAAACCACCACACAGGTATATATGCAGGCATCGACTGGAAGAAAATCTACCTTGAACAACTGCAACTTGTTCTTTGTGTAGCTTCAACGAAGTCCCAGCATGCTACTTTATCGGGAATCTCTTCTTCATTCAGGCCACCTGATGAAGCAGAATACTTCCTCCTGAAATTTGAAATTATTAAAATTCTTTAGGGGGCTGGGGATTTAGCTCAGAGGCAAAAGCGCCTGCCTGGCAAGCACAAGGTCGTGAGTTCGGTTCCTGGTACCGGAGAAAAACCAAAACCAAAAAAAAAAAAAAAAAAAAAATTCTTTAGGATTCATAACATTTTGTGTCAGCCTTGAATTTAGCTTTAAAATTTTAAAAACTGTCATATCAATGCCTGTTTACCTATTTCCTAATTATAATTATCAGCATGTGATTTTTAAACTTAAAAATGAGAATACATACTTGTTCTGTGCTCTGTTCATATTGCATTCTTGCCAAACTCTATCCACCACGTGACTGGCTAATTTCTGGGGTATTTTCCCACCATGGTGGCTAGTACTATCAGAGTTGAAGCCATCAGATATTGAGGAAAATTTGACCCACTTCTGAGCAGACTGAGGATCAACTGAAAGAAAAAGAAAACAGATTGTGGGATAATAAAGGTAGATTTAAAGTAACATTATTGCGGTTCTTTGTTCATGTGTGGTAGAACGTGCTGTAGCTATTTGATAAACCTGTATTTTGAGGCAAAAAAGAAAAAAGCACATTATTTTATATACAGAAAATAAGGAGCTCCAGTGGCACAAATGGTTAGTGCATGATACTTCTACAGAAAGCAAAATATTTCAACAGGCGACATAAAATGTATGGTAGTGTGTCCGTGTTTATTTCTTGACTTGGAAGATGGAATAAAAATCACAGGGATTAGGAGTAAAGGTCAATAGTAGACCACTGCCTACCATGCACAAGGTCCCAGGTTCAGTCTCTAGCACGAAAGAGGTGGTAGGGTGAGAGTGGTCTTAATTTGGGGAAATAGAATGAGTGTATAGGACTGAGAGAGCATCAAGTCTCAGCTTGTCAAGTGAGAAAGACCACTGATGATGAAGACACACACACATATAGAGAAGGTGATGGAGAAAATGTTAAGTTTGGGAATGTAGATGAAGGAATTGTTTGTATTATACTTGCAACTTTTCAAAAAGTTTTAAAATATTTTAACAATTATTTTTGAGGTGCTTATGTACTCAAAATAGATTATCAGAACTGATGAAACAGATTAATACCTGTTTGGACTTCCTCAGGAGACGTAGGTGGTGTAAGAGTAACCGAAGACATAGCAGGATCTCTTGTGGAAGCAGGCACTTGGTGGACACCCAAGCAAGAAGTTGAACAGTGAGAAGAGCCCACAGAGCTAGGAGTAGGAATGTCTGACTGAGGGACTAGAACAAAGCATGCTGGGTAGATCATTCGGACACCAGCTGAAAGGGGAAAAAATGGACAGAAAAATCAATTACTATAGTGACCACTGTGGAATTTAGCTTCATTTAAAAGAACTGTAATGGAAAGGTAGATATGCGATCTCTTGGCATAAGGTCTTTCTTTTTTTAAAGAAGAAATCACAATAAGCTGTTAGTAGTCGTTACCTTTGTTGAGATCCTTAGAAGTAGCTTCTCTAACTATGAAAATACTTGGACTTTTAAAAATCTTTTCTTATACCTTGGACCAACTATACTGTATATTACTTTTTAAAGTTTTTTTTTTTTCCAATTTTTTTTTTGGTACCAGGAATCGAACTCAGGACCTTGCATTTGTCAGGCAGGCACTGTGCTGCTGAGCTACATCCTCAGCCGTTAAATTTTATTGTACAAATTTAACAAAGGTAATCTGGCACTAAAATTATGGACCAGTTTTAGGTTCACTAAAAAATTTACAAAGGTTTCTGTTGCTTTTTTGTCATAACTGTTCTGACAGTAATATGTTCAAAACTGAACAATGACAATCTTTTAATTTTAAAAAAAACAAAGCAATCATCAAGTAATATTACCATTTGATTCTAATCCCAACTATCTGCTCAATTACATATTCACCATGCCTTTCATGTCTAAGATAGAGTAGATGCATGTATGTCTTCACTCCACTGTCAGGCCTGGCTATATGACTTATACTGAAGTATAAGCACATACAACATATGTCATATGCTTAAAAAAAAAAAAAAAAAAAAAGGCTTTAAATGTGCTTGCAGCATCAGCAGAGCGTCTTTCACCTGTCTTCTATTAAATTGGGACATTTCAAATATGAGTCACCTTGTTAACCTGGGTTCTTGAATGAGAAGACACACAGAATAGAGCCAATTTGAAAAGAGGTTTAAGGGGCCAGGTATATAGTTCAATGGCACAGTAACTGCCTGAAAAGAGGTTTACTAAATATTCAAACACTATATAACATAGGTTGTTAACACTGCAGCCTCTAAATATTAATTCATTTACAACTATTCTTGTCCCACCCTTAGCATGCTTTCTTCTAGACAAACTATATTTCCTTATCCCAGTGACTGTGGCTTGGCTATGTTAACTACTTCTTTAACATGCAACATAAGCAGATGCAACAAACACCATATCCAGCAGAAACTTTAAATATACTTACATGGTTATTCTGGGTCCCTATCATTCCTCTGCTCTCATAAGAACATGATAACCTAGACTCTAGAATGAGCAGATATATGGAGCCAAACCAGGGTCAAGCAGCAGCCCTTATGTAATGTGAGCAGGAAATAAATGTTTGGTGTTGAAAGCCACTAAGGTAACAGAGTTGTCTGTTATTCAACAAAATCTAACAAACAAAAAGTTAGTTACATATTTTCCCTGTACTATCAGTACTCAGAATCCATACCAACAAGAACTTCTACTGCAGCTAGAGAATCATCTTCCCAATCCATATCTTCCTGTTTTTCTTCAGACATCTCCTTCAAGCAACATGAGATGGGATAGAACTGTTTCCATTCACCAATCAATTTTTTTGTAGCTGAATCAGACATCTTGAATGCCTGTCCTGTGAGAGTGCCATTTAGCCCAAATGGGCTTAAGATAACTAGAAACCCAGGAGAGAAATCAAGTAAAGACTGTCACAAAAAATACATCATATTGAACAAGATGTCAAGTAATTATGCGATTCTAAAGAAGAAAAGGAAACCCATAATAATTCCAGACAAAACCAACTTATTACACTTAATTATTGTGAAGATAAAGTATAATACTAAGATTATGAAAACCTAGAATCTGTCTATGATGAATGTGATCATTATGTATACCTAAAATGTACCAATAAATTAATTAATAAAAAAATATGATCAGCCAGGGATAGAACTCAAGTGGTACAAGCGCTTGCCTGGCAAGTGCAATATACTGACTTCAATTTCTGGTACAAAAAAAAAAAAAAAAAATCAAATTAGAAATACGCATAATTTCACTGGGGATATAGCTCAGTGGCATAAGCGCCTGCCTTGCAAGCACAAAGTCCTGAGTTCGATTCCCGGTACCAAAAAAAGAAAAACAAACAAAAAAAAACAGGGCCGGGGAGATAGCTCAGCAGCATAAGCGCCTGCCTGGCAAGCTCAAGGTCCTGAGTTCAATTTTTGGTACAATTAAAAAAAAGCACCTGCCAGAAATACACATAATCTCAATATCAAATGGGGATATTTGTATATCCCTTAATTTCTCTACACTCCCACTAAGGAAAAAGTAATCTGAGGAGAAAATAACATGCATATACAAACATAAATACTAATATAACCACATAAATTTCAAAAAATAGGTTTAAAATTAAGCAACATACATATTTCTACTGATTAAAAACAATCTA